TTTAATACTGCAGCAGCCCAGTGAGAATGGCATGTCCTTTAAGGAAGGGAGCGTACTATCTTCGGAAGATAATCTTCCAATGACCGACTGATATTCTCGCAGCAGCAGCTTTTTTTTTTGACACGCAGCTTTCTCGCATAAAGCGCTGCAATTTCACTTTGAGAAAAAAGCGACAAAGCGCAACGCATCATTCCAATCTTCATTTGGGCGTATCATTTACGCCCGCAGTCATTGCCCATCGTTGGCAAGCAAAAATCATTGTGCAAAAAATGCAATTTCGCAACAATATAAAAAATAAATGCACAAATGGAATCTCTTTGGCATTCATTTCCAACATTCTTTGATTTTATTTTCGCCACTTGCCGCAATTTTTCCTACCAATTTTCAGTGGCATTCTATAGCTACGCATTTTTCTTGCAATTTTCGTTGCTCAGCTCTATGCGCAGTTCATACGCGTATTTATTTGTCATTTAAAAGTATGAAATAAAGTGGAAAAGTAAAAACGAAGGACTTCACAAACTTATTTAATGCGAAAATGTAGAAATGAATGCATGAAAGGATATCAAAATATGTATGTGTGTATATGCATGTGACATGCAGTAAAAGTTGAGTATCTCCTGACTGCTGCTAGTCTGGCGCTTTGTGCGGTTTCTGGTTTCATTTACTTTTTTTTTTTTCTTAATGCAATCAAATGCAATTAAAATATTATTATTTATGCACTTACTTTGTGTGTGAGTAAGTGCCCTGAGCGAGAAAGAACGTAGAGAAGTATTTTAAGTTTCTTTTTGATGCACTTTTATTTGTGCTATTCTGCATAAATATTTAAATAAAAATTTCGCTGTGGAAAAACGAAAAAATAGTGCAAGCTTTCGGTCGCGAGGAAGGATGCGTGACTGTAGCTGATTTGAATTTCCTTGCATATGTGGGTACATATACTGAGCTTTTTTGTCATATCAAATTAATATGCAAATTAAAAGCTAACAAGGGAAAAAAAATCTTTTGAACAAAGTACTTCCTGACCTATCACTATGATAGTTAAATATATTTTGTAAGACATAGTTTGAAAGTTTTGGTTTATTCTGGCACAAAAGCCTTACAGAATAAGCTCTCTTGCCAACTTTCATGGTGAAAAGCTCCTTTGACCGAAAGCACTTGCATATCATTTTCCTCACGCTGTTCTAACAGTCGAATTGGCCGAGTGAGCACCACTGGCGTGCAGTTCGAGAGATCCGAGTTCGAGTCCTCGAGCAGCGGATTTTATTGTTAAAAAAATTGACAGTTTTTTAATCCAATAAAATTTATAGAAACTTATTTTATTTAATTTTGTTTTTTAATTTTTACTTTTTATTGTTAAATTTTTTTTTAATTTCACCCAATTTTTAAAAACCTTTTTTCTTATGTATTTATCAAATTTTTTTATCTTTTGTTTAAAAAACATATGTACAGTTTTATCTAAAAAAAAATTTTTATAAACTTTTTTGAAATTTAATTTTTTGACTTTATTGTATTAAAAGAAATAATATTTTTTTTAATTGTAATAAATTTTTGAGAACTTGTTTGTTGTTCATTTTTTCTCTTTTCAGTAATTTTTTATTTTTTTTATTTTAATATTTAGATTTTGTTGTTATAAGAAGAAGCATATTTTTTATTTTTTTTTTTTAATTTTTAGAAACTTATTTTATTGTTCCTTTTTCTTTTTTCAGTTGAATTTTTTGTTTCCTTTTTTAATTAAATTTTCTTTTAAATTTTTATTTTAAAAAGATGTATATATTTTTAAATTTCGTTTAATTTTTAGAAAACTTATTGGTAAAACACAAACAGAAAAACGCTAAGACGCTCGTTAGCAGATTTTTAAATCAGTCTTTTGAAAGATAAAAAAAGCTTTCAAGATATTTGCCAGAATTGAAAGCCAGTTGCTAGAATGGCCCTGCTAGGCATAAATGTTTACATCTAGAACCATAAGAAATGAAGTTATAGTCACCACATAACCTAATCGCCTAAAAGTATGCAATACTAAGCCAAAATAAGCAAAAATCTTCAATTTCTTTGCGCTTCATTGTGGGTGTTCACACTTGCCTAGTTGTCTTGATAAAATTTCTTAGTCTATAATAAATTTTTAACGCTAAAACACACTTTCTTCAGTTTCTGTTTCTTGGCCCTCTGCTCACGCTTGAGCGGTCACGACGCTTTGCTATGAAGCACTGGAATTTATTTTTTTGTGTTGAGTCTACACTGTTCTTTGGTTCCTCAAAGAAAATTTTAAGGATTAAAATTTACCTAGCGAAACTCGAAATCGGTGTATACATTGCGGTGCTACTTCCAAGTGGCTCCTCTCTACTGGCATCTTCCCAACGGTCAATAAGAGTGTGGCAGCAACTGTGCACTAGAGCTGAAGGGGACCTATTTTCTCATAAACTTTCCTTCAGCCTCAAGCCTTGACTTCCAAGCCTACTTCAATTAGACGTTCTATTTTGATAGCCAAGCGACTGGCCTATAGACCTTATACTCACCTACAGTGAGATCAAAATTTATCGGAGAATGCTTGACCCCTCCCCCGGCCGTCTCTGTATACTACAAAATACGATTGAATGTAGGAAGCTGGCTGGTTGAAGAGTTGACAGTGGTGTACTTGCGAACACATTTCTTCTGCCATGGTGGCCATTTTAAGCTTACCACTTTCCCCTGAAAATAAGTAGCACCATCAAGAATTTACGCGCACATTATTTATTATATACACTGGCGAAAAGTCAGCAAATGTTTGAGCAATTAAATCCACCTCGTTAATTGATATAAAATAAAAGTATATAATAAGTCTGTACATATAATACTCGTATGCAACGAGTTGATACTCAACGATATACCGATTCCTTTCAGCGGTGGTTAGCACTTCAAAAATATCCCAGAGTCCTTATCAAATATTCTCTGCGCTACATGCCGCACGCACGTACAACAACTACAACATAGTGCAACGTAGTAAATACTCGTATTACATTCGTATGTACGTGCACGCATATACATACATACTTGTGCGGTGCGTACCTCTTCGTAAACTTTGAAACATATTGGCTCATTAGTGACATGACCCTCCATTTGTACCAACGCGGCCTTAAAGTTTAACCAACAACTGTTCTTCCCGTACTTACTACGAGTAAGTATATATTTATGTACATTAGGGTGCTCCTTAAATATAGGAATAAAATTTTTACATCAGATTTCCTAAGCCCCAAACACTAAGTCGATGCTACTATAGTCGAGGATAACTAAATTTTGGTCTCTCTCTTTGGGCAAGGTTCAGATTCCTGTATGGAGACTCAAAAAATTTAGATAATTTTTTTTCATCTTTTTAACCGACTCCAATCGCAACCACTGGACTATGTTAGTATCGATTTTGAGTACTAGATGAAAAAAAAGTTAATTTAAATTTTTTGAGTCCCTATAGAGGAATCCGTACGACGAAACGCCTTAAGCGTCTCTAATTGGGACCAAAACGTATATGTGATATTTGTGACCGTGGTATTACCGATTGAGAGGGTGACACTGAAAAAAGTCGTTCAATAAATGTTTTAATGACCATCCTAATGTACATACATATTGTTACTAATTTTAGTAGTTATTGGCCCGTAGGCAAGCGGCTTAAAGTTACCCTTCCCCTTCAAATATAATCTCTTTGCTCCGGTTCTTTCATATTTCTGCCCCATTAAACATTTCCATTTTACGTGCTAATTGCAAATTACTTAATGCAGTTCAAACAGCAGCCTCATATTTAATGGAGTTGTTGAAAGGTCTCCCCTGCATTGATAATGGCATATGGAGTCTTTGGTGAGCTATTAAGGAAAAAATTTTACCAACAAATTTAACTGGCCAAAAAAAATTACAAAATCTAAAACTAGCAAGCTGAAAAAATTTCCTGATATGATACATATTCTTGGATACCCGTATTACTGACTAAAATACCAAAGATACCCGCCCTTGAGTCGCAAAACTTGTCGGTTGTAACTAGGGTTGCCAACATTTTCTAAGATATTTATAGTACTTTTTCAAAAAAATTGGAAGAAATATAGCACCGTTCAAATAAATATAGTATTTTATTTAAAAGAAAAATTAAAAAGGATTTTTAAGTGCTAGACAATTTCTTCCCGTGAATGCCAAATTTGTTGGAATAGAGAGTAGAAATGAAATAATTTTAAGTAGATTTGTTAATTCTTTCTCAGTTAAGTTATGTTTTTGATTATAAACTTAAGACTTAAGTCTATCTCTGAAACCTTTGCGAAAAATCGACACAAAAAATTTAACTTACCCTCCAAAACCATGCGTATGTATGTATGTATGCTGTTCATTACAACACCGACCGAAGCGAAAAAAAAAAAACAAGTAATTGAAAAAAGAATTTTTTTAAGGCAAGCTTTAATTAGTTGTTAATACAAAAAACAAATAAAAAGTTAACAAATGCCAAAATTTTTTGTGCAGTTATTCGAATTTCGGAATCTGAATTTGGAGTTTGCTAAATTTCGAAAATAGATCTCTTAGCATTTTGCTGTAGGGTCGTAAAAAATTCCTTAATTTTGTACAAAAACATGCTATAAGGGTTTTTTGGTATGAGCAATCCATTTCTACATTTATATTTTTCGCAACAGCGCAACAGTAAACATTTTCACATTTGCTTCGAAACCTATTTTGCAAAGGCCCATACTTTCTTCAGTAAATTTGCTTAGAATTAGAATCCTATACTCGCATAGTAAAAAAACTGACCTGCCCTAATGTATGTACATACATGTTTATTCTAAATATAAACTAAGTCGGACCATTAATGCAGGTTTTCAAACTTTAGATCTTCGCGCCACCTACCGGCTAAATTTTGTGTTTAGGTATTTCCTTCAACATTATCATTTCAAAAGTTGAAAAATTCCGCCAAGAAGTTTTTAGTACACGAATTTTTCTATCTTAAAACACCTTCTTGTAGAGCATCACATTTAACACTTTCCTCATTTCTCTCTTTTCAGGCTACTTTTCTCTGCTCAATGACAAGGGCACAGCAACGGCGACCCTCTACACTTCCTTAATACAGCTCGTACGCGAACGTGTGTACAAATTCGTTTCAGTCGACAATATGCCCGCCTTTACCGAGTCCCAGCCCAACGTCAATAACCCACCCGCTGAAAGTTGCCTACCCATGTACACCCAACCACCGCCACCACCGACCAACAATCGACCACAATATGTGAAGACTACGGCACGGGGTGGTCAAGTATTCCGACTGCTAGCCGTTTTCGAGGATGGCAAGCAAGACCACTCCAATACGATCGGTTGTACCGGTAGTGTGACCGCAAAATCGAATAACAATCATGGCCGTGAAAAAGAAAAGGGCCGCTATGCACAGCTGTTGAACGAGAACCGGCAGGTGTTGTACGTCTCGCTCTCCACAAAGGGCAAATTCTATGAAATCGAGCCAGGCATACCACAAATATTACAAAAGCTTGGCGGCATCGGAAACGAGACGAATAAAAAGGCCAATCCGGATTGCGTACATCGCATAACGGCGTTGATAACGCCACAGCGCGAATTGCCGCTGACACTGCGCTACATTTCCGGTCCACATGGCTGCAATAGCGCGATACCCGAAAATGTGTGCATCACACACATAACCACCGAAAATGTGGTGATTGCCTGTCCCATTGAGGATGTGGAGGTGCAGAGTCCACTACACTTACGCAAGCTGCATCTGTCCAAAGAGATGAATTTGTTGAAGAGCTCACTCGGTTTCGAAAGCGAACAACGCATGCTCGCCAATCCCAATGTGCAAAATATACTCAAATTTTGTCAATTTAATTGTGATCAGTTCTTAAAGATGATTGAAGTGGAAATATTGCACCGTCCGGAGCGCTCGGGTTCCAAGAGCCGTGGCGAAGGTTTGAAAATTCTCAAGCCACTGCATTTGCCTAAGCTGTTGCGACGAGAGAAGACCACAATTCCGGCGCATGAGAAGGAAGACTCAATTATATTTCTTAGCAAATCCGACCTCGCCAATCTGGAGGCGAAAGAAGTTGCAGCGCAGGCAGCTTTCGAAAGCGCGGCGAGCAGTGCAAACCGCATTACCGAGAAAATGAAAGTTTTCCAGTCGACAAAGAAAAAGTGGTTCCGCAAGCAAGACAAGCACGCTGCGCACACGTTGACCTCCTACGAATTGGACGTGCAGGCGAAGCGCATGAGCATGGAGCGCTATTCGGATATGTCAAAGCTGTTGCAGGAACGTTTCGGTGACAAGCCAAATGCGCAAACTCATGATGCGCATGAATCTGTTTCCGAACCAAGTGGTGGCGCTTCGGATATCGGCTGCTCAGATACGGAGACCACCACATTGGCAACCATTGATGAGAAACTGAGAAAGGTAGAGACGAGTGGCAATAAAATGATAACAAAGTCTATGTCGCTGCAGGATATCGAGCTCATTAGCGGCGGCGCTGCGGCACGCAAGCCCGACTTGCTGCCAAGCGATACCATCTCCGAAGCGGGCACCGACCTGGAGGACCTTGATAACCAGGACCTGATACCACAGTCATTCATAACTGAGAAGCTATACAATGAGTTCCACGTCAAAACGCGCCAGTACAGCAAATCCTCCTCGAGCCTGCATCAACTGCTGAACTTTTCGTTGCCACAAAAGATGCAGCTACATGACAACAAACGCTCGATGGCGCAGCTAAAGCACAATGGCAGTAGTAGCGTAGCTGGAAAGCCAGCAGCCGTCGCTGACAGGCGTCTGGACTTCAACATTGGCGAGCCGGTGACAGGCAGACGCGCTGCCGGTGGACTTTCACTACTCGCTGGTAACGCCGGCGTTGCCAACAGTCTTGGCATTTTGGGCCACCATTCGGCGCTCGCCTCACCGCTCACACCCACCAGCCTGATCGATGATCTGCCCTATTCAAGCGTGCGCGATTCGCTGGTGCTCTCGAGCGACGAATCAGCATCGGACAATCCAACAGGCAACATCTGTCAGGCGCTCAATATGATCGACTACAACAAAGAGAATATCTATGCGGAAATTTGTCACGACAATATTAGTCATCACGCGGCGGGCATAACATCAGTCTCAGCAGCAGCGACCGCTGGCACCACCGTCTCGGCCATGGGTGGCATTTGCAGTTCAACTACACGTGACACCTTCTCCGGCGATACACATTCCACGCGGATTTCCGACGACTACGGCGACTATGCCTCGCTCACATACACAGCGATTGAGCGTACTGCTCAACCGAACAGTATCCAAACCAGCGGCAGCGCTCTGAGTAAGTCAACAAGTGGACAAACTGTTGTCAACGCTTCGGCACCCACCGCCTTGGCGATTAGTCGGGTACAAGTCAATTGCAACTCTGTCAGTCCAGTGAGCTATCACACCGTTTATTTGGGCGACGAGCCGCTTGGCAACGAAAAACAACGTGAACGTGGCAAGCGTCACAGCAAGGCGGGCAGTAGCAAGAGTCGCGAGCATGTCACTACAGTGGCACTGGAGGGTAACACACCGACAGCCTATGAAACGCACAATACCAGCGGCAATATTGGGGCTACAGCTGCTAGCATCGCCAACGAACTGGAGGAGGTGGCCGATAACATTTACAATACATTGAAATGATGACTAATGTGATTTAGTTGGAAATTGGGTGCAACGGTGTTGAGTATGGTGAGCAGCGGCAAGGGGTTCTACTGAATCAATGCGGCCGCTGACGAGCATTGCTCAGCAAGTGTGCTCAGCTAGGGGTGCACCAAAAGGAGTGATTGAATTTAATTTACTATTACATAAGTAAGATTCGAACTGCTCGAAAGATTAAACAGCATTGTGATGTTTAGGGTTTTCTAAATGACATGAAAGGTGCGTTTGAAAGGTACTTTTGATACAGTTAAAATAATAGCTCATAAATATGGCTTTACTTAAATGTTGTTGGTAAAGAGTTGAGTTAATTCTTGTACTGTCTGGTGTCTAATAGGATAATATAATTTTTAATATTTGTGTGTCTTGAGAAAGTTATTTACTTCAAAAAGTCATTTTGTCGAAGGTCGCAAATCGAAATTTGTTTGAAAACTATTTTAAATTGTTTTGGACTCATATGTATATCAAAAAGTTTTCAGAAATCTTTCAGAACCGACAAGCATTTTTGCCTGAGAGTTCATCTTGGCCGCGGCTTCGCGTCGCAAAAAAAAATTATATCTTTATAGCGGTTATGGGCGCTGCCTTGCCCGCTTTAAGCTTTTTATACATTTTGTATAGGCGCGTTCTGAGAAAAATCTCTCTCTGCCCATCGCTGCTTTATAGCAATACCGCTCCTTTCAAGGTAGATTTTTAAATAGTTTTGTATGTCGTTGGAAAATGCCCACTTAAAAGCTTCAACCTAAAAAATCTCCGATTCCAATGCATAGACATGGACACCACTGTTGTAGGCCAGTGTAGGGCACCTCATAGCCACCTGTGTCGAGCTTTTTAATTTTAAACTTTCTATATACACAGTGTGAAATGGAAAGCTCTCTATACTAGCAATGAAATAAGTGCCACGTTTCGAAAGCCTTTTAAGCTTGAAGCACAAGGTTCCAAGTGTGCTCATTTATCAAAAGGTCGCTGGAAGGATTTCTGAATTTCTCACATACTCACTGTTATTCAACACTCTTTGTTTAAAACAGTATTTCAATTTAAAAAATCATTTCAAAAAGCCACAGCACGAGTAAAATATAACTTTACAATAAACTCTCAAAAGCATACAACTCATAGAGGGCATAAACGCCAATCAAAATGAATCGCGCAAATTAGTATTAAAACAAAATTTAATGAAATATTCATGCAAATAGTATTAAGCTTACTTCAGTATAAGCAACAAAAAGGCATTTGAGTAAATTAGAAACAAAAATTAAAAGGCATTACTAAATATTAGTATTTCAAAAATTAGCAATTAAAAATTTACGTATACATGCAAAAATAAGATTTCACTAAGAATATACTCATACAACTCACTCACTTGCATTTTAAACGATTAATCGATCTACGCAACAGTTTTTAAGCAGTCATATTAAAATAAACCGGCTATCATATTTGTTGTAAATCGTCGAATCACTAAGTTGTGTATTCATCAATATATCTCAGTATCTCAGCTAAAACGATTAATCGATTAATCTAAGAAAACCGATTAACATATCTCACACTCACAATTAGGTCAGTTAATCGACTTAAATTAATACATAAATCAATTGAAATTTTACAGGCTCATTGGTACAGATATTAGAAAAACAAAAGCACAGCAATCAACTTCACCTGCAAAAAAAAACAAATATTTGTAAATAAATACATACAAAAATAATTCACTAATTTGTAGCAGCACAAAAAATGTATCAAGAACAAAAACCATTAATCACAATTCACTTCATCCACTAAATAATACGAGCATCAACCAGACAATTTATGAATACTTTGCACAAAACTCTAATTTTTCGAAATTCAAAAATCTGCAATCAACACAATTTTCGCTGACCTGTAATGAAAAATTAACAGTTTGCTTAAGTTAGTCAAGAAAGTGTAAAAGCCTGATTTAACCAGAAAGGTAAGTGAGCTTTTTTATTTTCTGTAGTAATAACCAGGGGGAGTAGTTTTTGAGAGTATAATTTTGGAACTTTAGTATTTGATTGAAAGCTTGGTTTCTTGTGAAATCTTTCAAAAAGAGCTTGGGCAAGGCTTTAAGAAACTGTACGTAATCATTATCTTATATTTAAAAACTATGGATTTGGGTGAAAGCTTGTTTTCTGGTGAAAGCTGTAAATAAAAATGTTTAGCCATGAAAGCATTCGGGAATCACGTAAAGCTTTCCGCAGCTTTTAAACACGTTTTGACAATTTTAATGAACTTTCATTCATTTCGATAAATTTTCTGCTACCTTGAACTTAAAAAATTCGTAAGCTTGAATTCTTTGGAGTGTGTCAATGCGATTCCAATGCCTAATTCTAGTTTTCAGGCATTTTTAGACTCTTTTCGAATTTAAGCATTCACTTGATTTCATATTTTTGTAAGCTCTGGGCTTTAGTAAAATCTGTTCATATACCAATCACGACGAAAAGCTCTCTCTGGTCGTTGCTTACTTTCAGAAACTGAAAATCATTTGAAATGACAGATTTTTTGTGAAAGCTTTTAATTTTGTGAAAGCTGCATATCATACGAGCGTATGTTTACGCCAAGGCTTCCAGTAATGGTTGAAAAAGTCATTCACCCCTATTGCGAGTGTTGACTAGTAGTAGATAAACGACTGTTAGTTGATTATCGATTATGCATGGTATTTTTAAACTCGTTTTCTCGTTCAATAAGTGCGTGTGAATAGTTTATAGTCGCTTATATATATTAAGCTTTCTATACATTTTGTATAGTCACGTGCAGAGTAAAAGCTCTCTGCCCATCGCTGATTTTAAGGTTTTGTGTTTAGGTTAGAGCTTTCCAAAGGCTTTCTACTTTTCAAGTGTTTTTAGGCTCAGTACAACCGAAATTTCTGATTTGTCTTTTTGTGTGGTGAAATAATGTTTTCATTGAGTGAATTTTATTTCAGAAATTCTAATACTAAATGTTCAAAAAATAAAATATAAAAAAATACGTATTTTCAACTGTAGAACCATTACAGGGCAGCGAACAACAGATAATCTTTGGAATTTTAAAAATCATCTAGGATCGAGTACTATAGTAGAACGCTCATTACATTTAAGAACACATACAAGAAAGCATTTGACATACATAGACTAAGAAGAGAAAAAAAGAGAATAAAAGAAGAATCAAACAAAAGTATTACCGAAAGTGCAGAGCACGTTGAAAGCAGTCATTTCATCTCAACACGAATCGAATAGAACAAAATCAAATTTGTAAGATAGAAGAAAAGAAGAAGAAAACAGCGGAAAAGACATGAACAATCCAGCTGAGGAAGAAATAACGGTGAAATATTTCTGAAAAAAAAAATCCGAGAAATATTTTTGGTTTTGCTGCAAACTTACTAAGAAAAAACTGAATCAAACAACAAATCAGCTACATTCAAATGTAGATTGTGTAAAGTATTAAATTAGTGTAGAAGAAATAAATTTTTAATTTTAGCTGTAAATAAATATTTAAGAATAAAGAGAAAAGGGTGATTGAATGTGGAAATGAGGTCAAGTTTTGTTAGCCGCAGCAAATGCTAAAGCAATGTTGGGTGTGAAAAAAAATTTTTAAATAAAATTTGCAAAATAATTAAATTTGCCAAAAATTTAATTTAGTATAAGAAAACCTAATTGAAAAACACATAAATTTATTAAATTCAAAAACATTTGTATCCAAGCAAGAAATTTGTTTAAAATTTAGAAACAATTTAACTTTTTTATTTATAATTTTGTAAATTACGTCAAAGGCCGACGAAGAATAGTAGAAATGACAACTCAAAATGTAATTTTAAATAAAAGCAACAAGAAAACTAATGCAGAAAAATAAATTACTCACAAACATAACCTTAAACGAAATTTGAGTATACATTTTTTGCTGTATATATAAAAAATTAATATGTTTAAGTTAAATTTCCTGTAAAAAGCGGTGATAAATTTATGAAAAATGCAACAGAAATTAAATTTTACGTCGATTTCAAATTGAAACGGAAAAATTTAAAAGTTGAAAGTAAAGCGAATTTTGGTAAAAAAAAATTTTTTTTTGTAGTGAATAAGTAAAATCGCAAAAAAAGTCATTTTAGTCTATAAAGCAATAGAAATTAAGTGCGTTCAAAAGCTCTTTTAATTTTAGAATTTTTTTAAAGTTAAACTTTTTTTCCAAACATTAATCTTAAAATATTTTTGTATTCAAATCAAACTTTTAACTGTTAATTTTGATGGAAAGGTATTGATTTTCTTATCGCCGCTAAGTTTTTATTTTAATTTGCTATATCTTTCTTTTAATTTCAAAATAAAAATTTATTTAAAAAGTTGCATGCAATTTTAATTATTTTCATAAATATTAATTTAAAACAATTTTTTATTAATATATGTATGTATGTAAATACTTAGCTTTTAAAGAAATATCGTTGGCTTTGTAAGATTTTTTTCCATTAAATAACTTAATTTCTTTCTTAAGTCAAACACAAACGAATTTGGTTCTATATAGTTTTTGTTCATTATTACGTAGTATTTTCTTTTACTTAAGTATACGTATACGATTTATATATATTTACATTAATTTATAACACAAAAAAGGCAAAAGGAAAAGTTCTCAAATATACAAAAGTGATAAAAATAAATAAGTTTTTGGTTTTATTGAAATATATTTTTGTTTTTAAAATTAGCTCAAGGAATTTTTAGTTCAAAATATGCATGTTTATGTTTGAGAATCTCAGGCGTCCCCGTTTTTATTTGAAATAATAAAATTTTTTTTTAATTTATCTTTGTATTTTTTGGTTTTATTTTTTAATATATATATTTTTTTATTTTTTAACAATTTTCTCAAATATATTGCGGTATGATCTTTTACATAAAAAACTAGAACAAATCGGTTTTAATAATTTTCTCTATACGTAATTTTGAATAATTAGTAAAGACTCCATTTTCAAAAGTGATAAAGAAAATTGTAAATAAAATAAGTGACTTACGAAAATATTCAAACGCACATTTATAAAATGTATAGCTAAGTATGTAGTTTATTAAAAAACGCTATAAAAAATATAAATGTCTATGTGAAATACCAGAATCAAACATACCCATACAGAAGTGGCCATAAATACGAAAGGAGCCTATATTTAAGAGATATCTACACGACTGGAAGAAAATGCACTTATCGAGCGGCAACTTAAATTTGATTAGCATAGAATCGAGGTGAGTAAATGGCCGCACAAGAAACATTAAAAATAAATTTGAAAAAAGTAGCTATGAAGTTTTTGAGAAATAAAATTTATATATTAGAAATTTTCTTCCAAGTACTTAAATCGAAATAGTTTTATTTATTTTTTTTTTTTCAAACACTTCCATAAAATATTTCATACCAAATTTTTTTCCAAAACTTCATAGCTCCATTTTTGATACTTCCGCGCGCTCTTAAAGTAATAAATATACGACGTTTCAAATTTTATTTTCAGCCGCCGAGGATACAGCAAGAAAATGATGGATTGGGCCTATCATAACATATACTCACTTATGTATACTCATTTATGTATGTATGTATGTAGTAGTCAACATGAACGTCATATCAAATGCACCAAGGATAACAAAACAAAAACAAAAACATAAACAGGAAGACATACAACAATAACTTCGTACGAATGTAGCATTAAAATATAAATTAAAGTCTTTTTAAAAGTATTCAATAAAAAATGTAAAACAAAAAGCGTAAGACATGACCATTGAATTTCATAAGAATACTTAATTAAGCACACATACACACCATCCATAAAATATTGGCAGAATGAGTGCTACAAATGAATACCAAAAAAAAAAAGGTAAAGAAAACGAAAATATGCGATTTAAAGGCAGCTATTTTAAATTTCTTTCCAAAAAATAATAAAAAGAAAAATTCATAAATTTGTAGTAAAAAAAAATAAAATAAAGACATTGTTTAATTTTAAACTACGAGCAGAATTAGAAGCAATGTGAAAATTAAAAAGCAATTAGGAGCAAATAATATAAATTTAACTATTTAAAATACAATAAATATAAACAATTTAATACTGAAAAATTAAATTTAAACAAAATTCGCGTAAACTTGTAAATATTGTATGCAGTGTAATTAATGTAAAGATTTTAATAAGCAATTTTTGGAGTATACTTAAATAAGGAATTAGACTTTCAAAAAGCAAGCAAATAAACGAGTTTCTAAATTATGCGTTTGGCACATGTAGTCGGACGAAGCGCAGAATTTATCGTTTATTTAATATAAAATTTAAATTTTTAATTAAACTGAAATGTTTGCATTAAATAACAAAAACTTATGCAAACATTTACTAAGTTTTGAGAATGAAGTGAAGAATTCATTGGTTCGCAGATTGTGCTTCATCACGTTCGAATGGAGAAATCATGAATCTTATTTATTATGTTTATAATGATTTCAAAGATTGGCAATTTCAAATAATACTCAAAAGTTGGATCAAAGCTCTTCATCAGCTCAGAGATTCACTGTTAAGCTGAGTTTGAGTGCACACGAATCAGATGTATTTTCAGGCAAAAAACATCCTTGCTGCTTTGGTTCAAAAAGCTGAGTGAAAATTATTGCAAATGAGTTCACCTTCTGAACGCTTTAAGACATACATATGTATAACATAGCGAACTATAAAAGCTTTTGACCGAGCTGAGAGCACAAATATCTTTTCTGGATGAGACTTTTATATCTTTGAAAACAGCAGAGAGCTTTCACCATAGCAGAGAGCATTAGTACATTAGTTGGTTAGCTTATTCTTGGGTGCATCAAGACAAGGGCCACCGCGACCTGAAAGATATTGTGTGTCCCTTAAAGAGAGAGTCCCTAACCCTGTGTGGCCAAGATACCTTAGGTTTCCCTAGTGAATCCTAAAAGGGTTCGACCACTGGAGCTTTAAAGTCCATAAATCTTTATCTGGCCAAAGTCGAATAGTGACAGAATATGCTATGAAGTTATTATTTATCTTCAAGGCAAAGCCGGTAAGTGGAATCGCAATTGTTTTGTGACCTGTCAGGTACCCCGAAAATAGCCTGTTGTCATTTCCATTTTCTAAAAAAAATTCTCTCTTTTTAAAGGGAATCCAAAGAGCATGGCCTGTCTAAAGGGCCCAGATGGCTGCTTGGCTAAGTGAAAAGATATCTAAAAAAGCGCCTTTCAAGCTCTTTTCAAGGTTAAATTTTTCGCAGCTTAAAACTGTTCATGGGAATTGCAAGTTTGATGCTAGGTCCAAAAATACCTGCACCTGCACTGTCCTCCAGCCTTCAACTGGCCGTGTACCAGTGATCGTATCTGGGATCAAGTGCAAGGAGGCCATTTTCCCAACCCTGGCATCATTCCAATAATATCGGCATGAAGCAGAGGCTACCGCGTACCCCACAATAGCGTAGCCACATTCATGTAGTCTGATTAAGAGGCCAAGGCTCTGATCTTCACTTGAGTATTGCCCAAGGATGATGTAATTTCAGTCTCATGAAGCATAGCGTCGATCCAACCAACAGTAGTAGGAGCTAAGCCACTTTGGACTAATGCCCTCGATGTACAAGAAGTTACATAGAGCGATCTGCTTGACCTCGAAGGCACTTTCGATTCTACTAACCGGATAGTGTAAGCCCGAATCCGTTGATTTCACTTTGACAAAAGCAAATTGTGTGTCATGTAAGGGAGTGCAAGTGTTAAGTTGCTCTCTAATATGGTGGTCTAACAGTCTCTCTAAAATTTTGAGAGTGAAGGAAGTTAAGCTATTAGGTCTGCATGATTTATCTAAATCAAGAGGCCTGTTGTCCGATTTGGGAATAAATAACACGGACAAATTCCTCCAAGAATACTGTATGTATTGCCAGCAATAACTAGCCCTAAATATACACGACAATGATGGAGCCATGTCTGCTATGACTTCTCACTCTAGAGTACCTGTTTTCCCAGAAGACAAGCTCCACCGAAGAGCCTGGGGTATGCACTCGAAGCAGGGGATTTAGAGTCTCCCTGTTATCGTCCGTAATGGCAGACAGCATACTCATGCGCTATATTTTAACTGTTACTGTGAACCC